CAAGACCTTAAGAGCCTATATCAGTATAGAGACACAACTCTTAAATATTACCTGCATACACATTTTGCAATGATTACGATGACAAGTGGGCTACTGGCTCTCGGTAGAGACTTGACATACCACCCTTTGGTGAACTATTATGCATATATCTAACCCAAGGGATCCCTGTACAAGCCTATGCACCCCATGCCCTCTGCCAGGTGGCACCAAGTTGTCCCTGTGTCAGAGAGAGTAAAGCTGAAGTTAAGGGTGAAGAAAGTGATCAGAGGGGAAAATATAGGAAGTCAGGAAGCGAGAGAGTCTAGACTCAAGGAGCACTATCGCTCCTTGACAAGTGACAGAAAACCAGTAAATTCAATAAAAGCACTTGGTAGCTATATAAAATATTACCGTACACTTGCAGATGGGAATGATGGCACAAACCATAGCAGTTCTCCAAGCCCCACAAGCCAGAGTCCTGCTGGACATTATGGCAGTTAGTATAGCAAGATTGGCAAGAGTATCTGAATGTGGTGAATGATAGCGAGTCGTAACATGGAAATCAGTGGATTCATCTGTGCACTATGAAACTGCATATGTTGTATACTGAATGGGGGCATATACAGTTGCCAGTACAAAATGGGACAAAGAAAGGCAAAAGCGCCACATCAGGAACCTAGACTCTCTTTACAAAGGACTAATTTCTCATCTCGGATCAGAGCTAAAGATAAGTGAGTTATACAGTACATTAGAGGGGCTGATGTCTGCCTCCAGACAGATACTTGTACCACCCACTACCTTCCCAAAAATATGAATACCCACACCCTCAGTCATGATTATGACAGTGGAATAACAAAAGCAAGCACGTTTTGGAGAAAAGAATTCCTTGTGGGGGAAAAACACAAGTTTTTCTAGTCTGGTGTCTGATAGCATAAGTCAGATAAATGTGCATGAAATTCATTTCAATTTAGAAGGAATATTTTATGTTATTGTGGAGCCTCCTCAGATGTGAAGTCAATAAGGAAGTAGCATACTAGACAAGTTTATAGACATCTTTCAATTGAGACTATGTTTCAATTAAATGAGATTTTGGAAAGCAAAATGTAGCTGTCAGGGCACTGAATTTGTGGCACCCACTAGTTGAGTTGGGATTCATAATTCAATTAATGATTACACACTGCTCTATAAATGTAGTTTTTGCATTACTGGCAAATATCTAATACTGGAGCGTATTATACTGTCCCCTATTATCCTATAATACTACAGTATAATAAGAGTGTGTTGTCTAGTTGTTAAAGCATAGGAATGGAATTCAGAAGATCTGGTTATACTTCCAGTTCTGCCACATAAATTATTGCATGACCTTGGTCAACTCACTCAATTTCTCTTTTCCTCACTTTTCTCATATATATATTGTAGGGGCAATACTTCTCTAGCTCTACCTCAGTGGTGTTATGAGGCTTTGTTCATTAATGTTTTAAAGTATTCTGAGAGCCTCGATGGAAGGTGCCTGTGAACCATAAATCATCATTAATACTAAACTATGGATATGAATGTTTCAGAACACTGGTGTAACTTTGAAGTCAGTGGAATTAGATCAGGCATGAATTTGGCCCAACACATGTGGCAGCAATGGAATGCAAATTATATAAACAAGATGTGAGAGAGGGGGCCTTACCAAACTGCATGGCATACTTCTCAGTGTAGTCAGAAGTCTATTCCTATACCAGCTTATCAAGGGCAAAAGAGTCAGCATGTGGGATTCCTTATAATTGAAGAGTCTGATATGTCATGAAATAACTTCCCCACTGCTAAATAATTGCTGTGTTGCTGATATGTTGTATTACTGGGCCATACGTAGTCTGTGTTTATTAAGCTGCAAGAATTAGTAGACACTTATCATGGTTGTGTTAGCTAGACTGTTTTGAGCCCAGATCTTTCAGTTGAGGGTTGATCCAGTGAGCAATCTTTATTATAAGAAGCTCCCACAAGATTTTAACCCTTAAGGAAATCAGTGTATGTGTCACAGAGGGAAAGAGCAAAAAGATGAGGGACCTATTTGTTTTTCCAACTAAACAAAAATGCCCAAAACTCAGGAGAGAGGCAACACAACTTGGCAAACAGTTAGATCAAGTGCATTTGCTGGAAATATACTAATTGCAGAGGACAGGGGTAGGAGAGATAATCCTCAGTTTTCCTTCATTTTGGTAGCAGAATTTTAACAAGGAGCTTCTGAGCTGCCCCTCCATCACATCACTAATATCATCCTAGTGAATGACAGTTGCCTTGTTGTAAGAATAACAAAGAAATGACTTGGAATGTGGGAACCAGCCAACTGTGGGGGGGGAGGGAACAATATGTCTCAACTCTTAATCGTCCCCAAACCACACCTGAACCTTTTGAGAGACTCGGATCCATTTGGATTAGAATCCTCTCTTTTCTCCCCATTCTGATTCTCAACATTGCCATAGCTGCTTCCCCAAATTTCCACTGCCATCCTTCCTTCCCAACTCCTCAGCATTAAGCTCCTCTCCTATCAACCTATGCCCCTCCCAACTGGCAATTTTGACTGTCTCCATTCCCATGACTCTCAATATCCCCTTCCTTAATCCCCAACTTCCATATTTCCCTTAAAGGTAAAGTTCCAGAGAATGTAATAACATTTTTAAACCATCCTATATAATTTAATGGTGTATTATAATCCTATTCTATAGGATGGTTAAAAAAATTACAGAAATATTAGCATTTACTATTAAATCCTATAGATTTTTTAGAAACCTATAGTTTCATTCCTATCAAATTCTATAGGACTTTTCTGAGAACCCTAGCATATCATAAATACACCTTGGAAGATCCCATTGACCTGGGAGCTCTGACAATCTTCTGGTTGGGCTTTTTGTTTCCTAGGGCACAGATCTTCAGCATTGCAAAAGCCCTGCAGAAAAGCTCTTGGTGATCCTACAATGGGATCCATAAATGCAAGAGGGAAGAAAGGATAGAGGCCTACTTGATGATCATGGCAGATGATTTCTGGAGGCTGTTAAATCATTAAAAAGAAGAAGGAGAGCCTTAAAATATTCACAGCATCCAAGCTGGTTTCCCCCCCACTAGAAATGGCTAGGAGTATATTATACCTGGTAAACTTAAAATCACATAAGTGGAACGTGCAGTTATGTAGAGACATGTCTGACACACTAACAATATTTGCTAGAAATGTAGCTCTAGAAAATATGTGTACAGACAGATCCAGCAGTAATGAAGATCAAAGATCAGCATCTGGAATAAATGCAGTTTCCAGATCAAGTGCAGACATTCACCTAAATTAGGAAATTACTTGTATATGTGTTCAAAAAAGAAGAATGTGGCATTAGACTTTGATCCCTAAATTCCATTGAGTGAATAATTTGGAAAACATTGATGAAAACCGTATGATTACTTCTCTTGTAAGGTGCACTTGTAATTTGACTATACAAATATCAGGATTCTAGTGCATGGGAATCTGTTATTGCCAAATCTTCAAACCAGCATCTAAATTTCCCCATGCACCCATTGGCACACACAAATTGGGCACTTATCTCACTAACCTTTTTCATTATGTACGTCTACTTTGAGTGCACAAATGTAGGATCCTGAGCATATGAGCGGGTGCACACGCCAAACATACATGCTCACATGTGGGGGCCACTTTGAAAATTCGACTCTTCACAGAAATGGACATGCTCCCCCATATCTCATCAGCTCCAACCTATCACTTTGTGAAGTACTGTGACTTGCAAAATGCTGAGCACTTTAGGGGTGTAGAATCAAGCCTTATAGGAACGGTGAAGCTGAGTGGTTCTGCTACTCTTAATAATTTGAGATTCTGTTGTCCGGGTAAGTGCTGACGCACATCAGAGGGTTTTTAATGCATTATCTAATAGTCACTAACTTTCAGGGCGGCTGTTGACAGAGGTCATACAAGAATGAGAAAATGCCTTTTAGCCAATTCTGAACCATCCAAACATCCTGGGCTTGAAAGGTCATCTCATGTTAAAAATATGGTGGGGTTCATGTGCCACTTAATAAAAACTTTTGAAAAAGGGAGAATAGAAGAGGGAGAAAACAAGGGGGGGTGAAAGCAAGGGTGAAAATGGGGAAGAAAGAGACTGAGATAAAAGGAACAGAGGAAAAAACATTCTTAAAGATAAAATAAAGTCAAACCATACCATCAAAAGGGCACCCAGTTGTGTCTGCAGAGGCCCTGATGCCGCAAAGAGAACAGCAGAGAGTCAACTGCAGCACAGGGACAATAATTGGATTCTTTTATCCCTAATTTGTGCAGTACCACAGGTTTGCCTTTAGCTGGCAGAAAATCTGAATTGAATCTTCCTTAAAAAACACCAAACTCATGCAATGAAAATTACAGGAGCAAAGAGTTCAAACTGCAGAGTAGATTTATAATCCCTACACAGCCAAAAACCAATTCAAAAGTTCATAAACTTCACAGAGTTCGCGCTATGTCATTCATATGTTCTTGCATTCCACAGAAGTGTCTCACGTAACAGGTTACATTGAAGGGGCTAATGCGTATTTTCTAATATAAATTGTGTTAAAGTTCTGCATGTGTGAGTTATTAGTGGGAAAAGGATGCCTCCCATGCACCTCAATGAATCAACATTGACTGGTCATTCCCACCCAGATGATATAAAAGTGAAATTCATGCATTCATGCCACCAGGTATTCATTAATTAGGCCTATAATCAATAGCATGTAACCATTGCTATAGAAGAACCATCTTGGTACTTTACCAAGACAGATGGCTTATGAAATCTGAGCATAATTTTAAGACATTCAGAAAGAGCCGTTAAAAGTCTATGTTTAACCCCAAAGCTGCCTGTACCTTAGAAAAAGGTGACAATCACTGGAGTCTCTCTTCTCCCACAAGCAGAAACTAGCCACATTCTGTTGTAAGGATGAATTTAATTTCTTTAGATTTTACATCTCAACAAAGTTCTTTGACCCTTGTGTTTTTCTGTTGCCAGCTGGTGAATGAGCAACAAGAAAGCAGACCCCTCTTGAGCCCCTCCATTGATGACTTTCTCTGTGAAACCAAACCAGAAGCCATTGCCAGACCAGTAACATCAAATACAGCTGGTAACTAATTTTCTTTATCATCACTCATTAAAGGAAGATAATTAATTTTAATTTTAGCTTATTTATTGTACTTTTTGCCAGATAACATATTAGTTTTTTTTTAAATCAAACAAGATTCATTATTAATTACTTTTACAAAACTGAGTTGTAGTAAATTACAAATCGATTAATCTGGGAGTAGCAAAACCTTGTTGGTCACGCTTTGGTTTTGTAAAATCAAAACTTAAACCTGGGGTTGTTAGGATCCAGGTCTCAAATTATACCAAAGCTTCAGAGTTAGGGGCTGAGATACGCAGCTCTGATTTTAGTCCACTGGGAAAGTGATTTTGGTTTGGTAACTCCTCAGCCTGGCTTTTCTTTTGCAAAAACTTAACCATGGGTGGGTTGCATCTAGCTCTTGTTTTATCGAAACTTCCTAAGTTTGGAGTTAATGGTTTTTGATAAAGGCTTAAGTAATGGTTCATGGCCTTGTCTAGATATTATCTTACTTCTATAAAGTTCATTTAGTCTACAATGCAATCTTCACCACTGGGCTTGTGTAATGAATATGGCCATTCCAGTTGTGAAGTAAGATTCTTCCCAAGTACAGAGTACCTTTATAATCCCATTGGTGAGTGTATGTTACAGATCCCCCTCTGTGTCTGATCAATGGAAGATATGAGTCTGTTACTGTCCTAGTTCAAGCTGTAGCAGTTCATGGCCATCACATCCCCACAAAAATCTCTCCACCAATTATGCTA